TCCACAAAAACGTCAATTGCACACAGGCTCACCTACAGTCTACAAAAGACCAACGCATGAGCAACTGGAGCAGGCGGTCACCAAAGATGCGGAGGGATTCCACTGCCAAACTCCCGTGGATGAGCCAACCAGGTCCGTCATGCTGCTCCGACCCAAAGTCCACGAAACTACCCCAGTAGGAGAGCTTCAGCATCGGGAGGTTCTGCAAGGACAGAGAGAAACATACCGATTCGTTAGCATTGATGCAACCATCAAGTTAGGCATGCAGGCTGCACTTAGTCATCAGCAAGCAAATCCCGAGTGTGAAAGTCAACCCGAACTTGTGCATGATGCCGAGGTGCGCAGAGGTCTGGGTGTGTCTGAGATGTTGGCCTGCCAGAAGTGCGGATTTCACACCGACCACACAAAACTGTACAGCGAAATACAACACACTGGAAAGGGGAGAAAGACTGCCACTCCCAATATGGCATTGCAAGTTGGCCTTTACGGCACCAGCATTGCAACCGCAGGTGCTCGGCGGCTCCTGTCAGCGATGGACACAACCGTTCCTGCAAAATCTGGTTTGCAAAACCTCGCAGACAAATGCGGAAAAATCATCACTGCTGAAAATAAAAGGGACATGAGTGATAAAAGAAGAATTGTGAAAGACATTCACGAACTACAAGGTCATGACAGGGAAAGCCCTGTGGCAGTTGAGATGGACAGACAGTACAACAACCCCCTCAGAAATGCTCGGAAAAAAACACTGTTTGTGCCAGCAACACAAACGAGAGACGTTGTTTGTGAAAACGTGACAAGTAAGAAGTACGTCGTGATGTTTCACCACGAAAACAAACTTTGCAAGAAATGTGACAATGCCAACTGCAATCAGGAGGAGACGTGCACAGCTACTCGTCCAGCTACCTTCAATATGGGCGATGAACAAGAAGGTGGCCGTCAATGTGCACAAAAACTGATAAACTGTAATGAGCCTCTTGTAGTAAATAGGGTTACAACTGATGCTGATGGGTGTTTGGCAAAAGGAATGAAATCATGTATGCAAAGCCAGGCAGGTATGGAAACTGAACATTCACTAGACCCTCCTCATTTGAATCGGTCACTCTGCAGAGCCATGAGTCGGGCAAAATTTAGTGCAGGCATGTTTCCAGGAAAAACGAAAAAGGAAAAGAAAAAAATGCAAAATCGTTTTGCTGACGATATCAGCCACAGAGCACAAGCCGAGGCTGCTGCACTTGTAAACAAGTTCAGAAGAGACTCCTGCAAGATGGCTGACATGGCTGAAAAAGCAGCAAAAGCCATCATTCAGTGCTACATGGGGAAACATACCCTTTGTAGAAAGTGGTCAATAGTTTGTGGAGGTGGTAGATATAAGTTTCCATACCTGCCAGCTGATGCTCGGGGTAAATTAAACATTTCAGCAACTGATGAACAAACTGTTCTTAGACTACTCAGCAAAAGAATTGGCAATGAGGCTTTGTAAAAAAACAAATATGGAACAAGTACCCAGAAATCTGAATCGATGAACCATGCATTTGCGGTTACAAACCCAAAAGGAACACAAACCTTCTCTAGAAATGGTTCTAGTCGGGACCACAGTGCCATCCATATGGTCAATAATGGGCATGCCAATTCAATCGTGAAAAAGTGCAAAGCTGCTAGTTGCTTAGTTACTCCAGGCTCTCCAGCTGCAAAAGCCCTCGCTGAAATAGAAAAGGCACAGAAATATCATCACTGTAAAAAAATTCAATGTTTAAAAACAAAAAAAATGAGGGCAACTTAGTTGCCCTCACTTTTTCTGTAATTTGGACTTACAGAGAGATTTGTTTTTAATTTTACAGGATAAACTGTAATTTGAAATGACATATCTAGTTGTAAAATTAACTTACAAAATGAGGTGTAGTTTTAAGAAATAACTTTTTGTTTATTTACAGATGAACTTGTACATTGAAATAACAAATACATTTGTTAAATTTAATGTACAAATTATCTGTAAATTGAGATAACGAGAAAATGTATTTTTAAAATAAATTGTAATCCAGATCAACATAGCAATTGTTATTTTATTTACTTGTTTATTTACAGATGAACTTGTACATTGAAATAACAAATAAATTTGTTAATTTAATGTACAAATTACCTGTAAATTGAGATAACGAAAAAATGTATTTTTAAAATAACTTGTTATCCGGATTAACATGGCAATTGTTATTTTATTAACTTAAACTTTAAATAACAAATACATTTGTCAATTCAATTTACAGATAAACTGTAAATTGAAAAAACAAAACGAAATATTAAATAAAAAGACTCCTGTTATCATAATTAACATGGTGATTGTTATTTATCAACGGAGAACTGTAAACCTAAAATAAGACAAACATGTTTTGAGAAAAAGAAAAAAAAAACCTTTAAAAAACAGGTGTTTGTGCTTTATCTTTTACTTTGTTTTTCTTTCAGTGCAGGGCTGTGTTTAATTCATTTTTGTTAAATAAACAGTGAATTCCTCTATTCCCCCCAAAAAAATTATATTGTTGCAAGTTTATTTTTGCCAAGCGCTTACCAATATGCTTTAATTAAATATTGAACATTTCAGTAATTAAATTTGAACAGACAGATATAATTGAACAAAACTACACATTTTTTTCCCCCCAGAATGGTTTATTAACATCAAAGTTCAACAACATTCTCCAACAAATTGAGGAATTACATAAGTACATACAATACATGTATCAAGTTTAACATATATATACATAGCCCATGTTAGGACTTGTAATCGAATGGATGCTGCCTTACTCTTCAATATTTAATGGAAATGATTAATTACTTGGCAGTTTTAATTCATTGACTGAGATCAATGATGCACACTTATACAATAATTGGAAATTATTCATCAACCAGAAAGTCTGAAATTGGACAGCAGAAACTACTCATAGCCTGACACATTATCTTACAACTTGGGCCCAAGTTCATATTGCTGTTTATAGCAGTCAGCAGGCAAATTGTGCTGAAAATAATCATGCTGCTGCTTTTAAGCCATGTTTACAGCCATTGTGCATATGGTTGGGTGCGCGTCACTTTTTTTTATTATTAATACGTCCCTGATGTAAGCACATTGTTAGCACATTGATTAATTGCTGATTAAATGAGACCTATAGGTTTGAATGGTGAACTTGAACAAAGTATGGTTTGCAGTAACACCATGTCAATAATTTTGTTTTCATTTATGTGGTTTTTAAACGAACTAGCTGTTTTTAGTTCCAAACAGTGAGCTATGTTCATGTACACTATAGTGTCCAGCTGTTGTGTGCTGTTTGTATACCGTCTCCTGATGACAAACAAACGCACACTGCTCCAAACATCGAGTTAAAACAAGAATATTCACATGGTGTTACAGCAAACCTTTCATACTGTTAAAACCAGGCTGTAAAGAAGAATTAGGGGACCAGAAGACAGAAATTACAGACTAGTCCGACTCGGTGCCAAAATCCTTCACAATGTTTATGAAGGTGAGTACCTTTGAGTTGATGCTGTGGGCCTTTCGCCCAGATGTTTTGGGGGCCTTAGAACCCTTTTCAGGATTGATCCCAATCAGGCATCTGCAGAAAAGAAAATAATATCATGAGTCACTAAGAGGATGGTTTGCCAACGTCCATGAAATAAAAAAGACTGTGTACACGTACACTGAAACATAATTCTGCTTTCTGCAATTTTTTTAGGGGATTTATTTACTGGAAAAGACGAGAATTTTGAATAGTAGCAACACCATGCTCTCGGGGAATGGAATAATTCGGTAAAAAATTGACTTTCAAAACCTCTTTATTGTAGTCATTTATATATTTTTTTCAGTTTAGTCTTTTCTTTTTAGTTTTTTTTTAGGGGGGGGGGCGATATAACACTTGTATTCAAAGTAGGTGTATTCTGTGTATACACCTATTTGTGTGGGTGAATGGATGCAGCTGCTGTCGTGCTGCAATGTCTTATACGAGTATGAATTAAATAGTGAACCTTAACCCCAAAAAGAGGTCCAGACATATAGTTGTTTGAATTTGTGTCGAATAGTCGAATAGGTCCACTGGCACTTTAAGGTCAATGTACATATGACAGACAGAGATTAGAGGATGCCATTATGTAATTTTCGCGTACACTGTCTGTGACGAATCTATTTATCTTCAAGCAAACTTGAATCCTCGATGCTAATTGGTCGCTCCATGGCAACAGCAGTGTGATATACTAAATATAATCGGACCTTTCATATTGCACTATTCCAAGATGCGAGCGACATTCTAGCTGCGTGTGAAACACCACTTTAAGGTTCATGTGAAGCGTGCTAGTTCTAACTTCACTGTGGGTTAAGCTTGCTTGAAGATAAATTTAATATACTCCGCTCATTGAACACTGAACATATATTACATCGGCCCCCTTATACCACTCGGCTTTCGGCCTCGTGGTATGCGGGAAACACTGCACTTAAAGGGAATATACAACATTTGCAAACATCGAAAAATAAAACTACCAAGTTTTTGCGAAATACCTTAATAGGATGTTGGTGAATGACAGTCTAAAGCATCCTGTAAAATTATGGCACCTGGTATACTGTCATTTTCAAGAAAAGTGGTATTTTTGTATCAATTTCCAACGCTGATCGGCCGATCAGCGTTGGAAACAACTGGCTTTTTTTTAAATACTGGCCCCAATTGACCATTGCACTTGTTTGCAATCGATTACAAACCTATGAACGGGTACGAGCCAGCTAGACTGGTTCCCTGACCTTACAATTCCCCAATGTATGTAAACTGCTCTGTTTCTTCTTATATGGAGTCAGGGAGCCAGACTACAGGAAAATGATCGTTTTTCTTGGTTTTTATAGCATTTTCGAACCCAAAACCTCCAAAAAGTCAGTGTAACTATATTTGCTTTATATTTCCAACCCCCCAATTCCATCCATTTCTGAAAATTACAGCAAAAGCAAATGATGTATATTCCCTTTAATTACTGCGTGTTTCTAGTGACAGGATAGTAGTGCAGCAAATCTATGTGTAACAATGAAAAGTGAGAATAAGTGCAACATGTACTGACCGTTGAACAAGCTCCAGAAGTGCCTGCCCCTTTGATGGATACTCAATGTTGAAGTTATAGAAGGCTGCAAACATCAACATCAACGCTTGCAGTGGCGATTGGATTCCCGTGATCACGATCTCTTTGTCAACGACCAACATAAAGTCAGAAGCTGTAAGGATTGATGACCCTGTTCAAAATACGTAGGAACAAATAAATGTTAAGTAAGTTAATTCATAATTAAACCACTAATAATGTCCCTGATGTTTACTCATAATGATGCAACCCTTTCTGAAGATAAAATGGTATTTGGTCAGCGTTATATTCAAAGAAACTAAATCAATTTAAAGACAGTGAGATGTAAAGAACGTGCACCGTCTTGTTGTTAAAGTGAGACACTCGTGGAGCCAGGATGGAATAGGTCAGAGTTGATTTTCATATTTTGATGCATCTTAGATCCTGACTATTTATTAGGGACATACTTTTTTTTAAAGAAAAGTGAAGTGGCATAACAGCTAGGGGGGAGGGGGGGGGGGGCTGCTCACTCAAAGCATGTCCCCTTTCCCTTGTACAATGATAAAAGAAATGTGCTTTACTTTGTAAGTTCCCTCTACAGAAATGACCTCCTAGGCTCAACTGCAAACTTACCATTTGATACAATGCAGGGTGTGACAGGCAGAAGCTGTGCTACTTCCGGGGTAGTTTCCTGCATATGACAAAAACATTTGTTGTAAGTCCTAACAAAATGATAAAAAAAAATTTCGGGGGGGGGGGGGGGGGGATTAAACATGCACAAATTTTCCTCTGCTGAGTGAAACGTCACATACCAGGGGTGCGAGTGGGCACTGATAAAAAGAGCTGAAAACAGCTGAAAATGGTGTAAAAAAACTGAACTTTGGAAATCGTTCATACTTTTGTACACAGCAAGTGAGGGAAAAAAGCTGAAATCCAAAACAAAAAAGCTGAAATCAGCTTTAAAGCTGAGATTTCACACCCCTGACATACATACAAGAACACATAGTCATGTGACTGTTCATGTGTTTTACAACATATCAACAACACAGTCTATGTGAGCAGTTGTATAGACTTGTACCCAGTTTTCAGGAAATATGTGTTCACAAAAAAATGCCAGGAAACAAAGACAACCAAGACAGTGAATAACAACTTACATCTTGAACACGAATCAGAACACTGATGTCTTCTCCAAAGAAGGCTGCAAGGGCGCTGAGAAACCCGAAGACCTCTGGCAGGTTGTTCATCATTTCCCTCTTGGCCTTCTCCATATCTTGGATTGCCTTCTTCAGCTTGGGCTTCTCGTGCTGCTTGCTCAGTAGGAAGTTCAGGAGTGGTGGTACTTTAGATGCAAAGGCAATATGCAATGTTTCACGGAGTGGTATCCCAACAAGTTTTTCAAAGTGTTCCAGCATGCCAATTTCCTCAAAGAGGAAGGGCCATTCTGCTTCGATGGTCAGAATCGATGTTGCACCGCTGTTAATCACAGATCTTAGTGTGGAATAAGTATCGCTCAAGAGTTGTGCGACTGCTGCCTTGTCCCACACCTCTTTGGAGTGCATTGTCAGCATGGCAATTTTTTTGTCATTTTGGGAATCGACATCCTCATCATGTGGCAAATCCGGTTGCCAGTTCTGGGTACTGTAACTAGTACTGGCCTTGATTTTCTTGGCTGGCCTTTCAGCACCACTATCAGAGTCTATGTCATGGACAGCACGAGTAGGTTTGGTTACCCTTGTGATATTGGCAATGCGGGTCTCCAGCTGAGATAGAAGTGAATCATACCCTCTTCCAATTACAGTTCCTCCAAGTTGGTCTTGAAACGAGTGAGGGTAATGACACACAATTTTGGAGGCGATGTTGCAGAGATGCTTTCTACCTGGTTTATGAGTGATCTTGGCCGATATGTCGTCTACAATGATCCTAACCATTTGTCTCCTCGTGGATGGAAGAGGACGTTCTTTCCTTTGTAGGTCTTTCTGCAGAGCAGCGGGCATTTTGTCCCAAGGTACGCTGTAGTCTGTTGACCAGCCACTTGATGTGTGCGATGGTGACGATGCAGATGGCAAAACACCAGATGGTGACTTGTGCTGGGTCTCAAGCGAGGCAGCGTCTAAAAACAAAATGAAGGGGGATAAATGAAATAAAAAAATACCAATGAGAAAAAGGTCTCAAAATTTGACTCAGTTCATAAAGAAAATAGTTTTGTGTCACTTGCTATGCAAAGTCATTCACATTTCTCTCTGATTAAAAAGATCTGACTAAAAATCATCTCTGAATTGACTGAATCTACCATAGAGATGTACTGTGATTGACCTTAATTTTCTTGAATGGTAACTACTTCTCTGCCCTTTCAAATTTCAAAAGGGGTCCTACAGCATATGTTACTTTTGTTTGTTTAAATAGTGCAATTTGTCTAGTGGTTTCCTGGTCCCATATAATAACTTCTAAAAAGGGGAAGAGCATATTGATTGCTGGGCATGGGCGTCGGCAGGATTTTTTCCAAGCAAATTTTTCCCCAAAATTCCTTAATGTTTTCATTATATTCTCAATTTATCTTTTTTAGCGTGAGCAGGGGAGCATTTGCCTTAACCCCCCCCCCCCCCAAATTAACAGCAAAATGGCTTCGCACCTCCTTTTTTTTTTTTTTCGGGGGGGGGGGGAAGTGCCCCCCCCCCCCCCCCTCCCTCGCGACGCCCATGTTGCTGCAATAATAGGGTCTTTTCTAAGTATATCAGAAGTGAAATTGTTTTGCCAGAAACAAAACACAATTTAATAAATGAATAAAATGCAACAATTCTTACCCGGGTCACTAGCGTCAAATGCGCTCAGTAACTTCCTCAATTGGACCTTCTTGAGATTCAGCTCGGAAAGGTCACCTTCACTGACATACTTGAAATCCGTAGGTTTGTCCACGCCAACTTCAAGACATTTATCCAGAATGCTACACACTTGCTCTCTTTTTAGCGAAGGAAGTGTATCTTCTATGTACGTTTGTAGCAAGTGAAGGCCATCGGTATCATCACTATAGATTGACATCTTTGCACTATTTTTATAAGAATTTTGAGAAAAAAGGACACTAGGTGAGTAAACAAAAGAAGAAACTCTATAATGCTCCCCCTATATTTTAAAGAAGTTCTGTATGAAACACTTTCTAGATCTTTCCACATCTAGGATATGAAAACCCATTTAAAAAATCGTCTGCACCTTGAGACTTATTTATGGGATTCAGATATTATTTCGAGGATACCACACATGGTTTAATTTTTACTGACATATCATGTACCTTAAAGTATAATCAGGGTTCAAGGTTAAAAACAGTTTTGTCTTCAAAATTTCATTACTGGAAAAGTACATGAGTGATTTGAATGATTTTCTCATTAAACGAAAAACTTTTAATTGGGCTTTCACATCTTAGACCTGGAAAGATCTAGAAAGTGCCACATTCAGAACTTCTTTGAAAAACAGGGGGCACAGTAACGGTTTCCCTTGTTTAACCCACCCTGTGTATATTTCCACATTCAGGTAAGATTTCATTCAGAGGCGGTACTGTGCTGGTTTACAAATAAACTACAAAAAGACCAAAATAGTTACACTAAATTAGACACTATACCCGCCAACAGGCACTTACTAGAAATGCCCATCAGCATCAGTAATGTCTCGACCTTTTCCGGGGTATAATGTCATTAACCCTAACTATTTTAAAGTGCTGTATATGACATCTGTTGACTATTTAGGCACTCACTGTCAAAACTGTTAGTGATTGTCAAACATGCCGGTGATAAATAAAAATAACAATAATAAAAAAGCACTGACAAAGAAAATTTGAAGTAATTAGGTATTCCATTTTATCATTCAGGTCATGCATGTCGATTTTTTTATATCCCATCCAGGAAACTATGTTTAAAGGGTAACCAAAGGTTTCTACCTTTCCTGTAGGCAGGGAGAGGGAAAAGATCTTGCAGTTGAGTAGCTTCAATGCACAACACTTCAGACACCTGAAACTCTGATGCCAGCTGGTACATGCCCATATGAAAATCAAAATGCCCATCATGGACTTTAACAACAACATAGACTGATGCACCTGCCTTTACAGCTATCATTAGAATACAACCAAACTTGATTCCACTGTCACTTGGTGCAACTGCTACAAACAGCCCTTTTCTGAAGTCTGTTCCATTGAATGTTACCTGATCACTGACAACTGAATTGCCCGAATGCAAGCCCAGTTTCCCCAAGGAAGATTCAATACCGACTGAGTACAAATTTGGATGCAGAACAATTGCCTTTTCTGTTCTCACTGAAGACGACAACAATGAGCCACTGCCAAGGTAGGCCTGAAGGAGCTGATGCCTTTCGCTGAGTGTTTTAGTTACATTTTTGTAGTTTTGGCAGTGTTGTAAACATTTCTTAAAATAAGAATGCTTACTTTCGAACCTTAGAGTCCACATTCTCATGAGAGGTCCAAAGCTATGTATTAGTTCAGGATAGTGGGCCAAGAAATGATGTTTAGGTCGAAGCCTGCACCCAGGAAATCTCTTTTTTCTTTCCTCTAGGTACTCCTCTATTATCACTTTCACATAAGCCAGTTGTCCCTCTTCAATCCGAGGAGCACATATCAGCTCAGTAATGAGTCGAAGTTGTAAGCAAAGACCCCAAACATGATCATCTATTGGGATTTTGTCAGCTACAAAGAGTGGCAGAAGGCGCAACATACACCAATTCTGAACTGCATGGCCTCCAAGGGACTTTCCTTTATCATTAACTTCAGGAGGTTTGTTGCTGGCATCTGTGCCTAAACACTGAAACTTTCTTATTCTCTCATTCAGAACTTCATATGTGAAACATTGCTTGGTTTTTATGAAATACTTTAAGTAGAGTGCTACATCATATGTAACCACACCTTCAAATAAGTCATGTCCCAAACATGGTGGAAGGCCAGGAGAGCAGACATGGAATTGGCTCAGTGAATTAAAAATCGAGTCAAACTTTATTCCCTCATGATTATTTACTGCAGGGTCTGCAATTTGATCAAGATACTGGACTGCATCATCATACCTTTCCTTGGTTCGTGCTTCACCACATTCAAAACCCCTGCCAGAGTGAAACTGTTCAAGGCTTATACAGCAGTATCTACAAAAGTACCTGGAAGTGCTAAAATTTTCAGTGAAACCTCCTATAGCGTGAGAACCCAAATTGTCTCCTGTGATGGCTACAACACAACCCTTAACATTGCCCAAAGCTGTATATATTCCTTCTGTTTCAACATCCTTCAGGTCCTTCACCAATTGTCCAAATATCTGCTCTTGACCAAACTTCTTGAAATCTTTTTCTTTACAAAGAAGAACAAGTTGCATGTGGTTTACTGAGGATCTCAAGTGCGCGTGGATGTTTCCCAAAGAAAAATACACCGCCAGGATTTTATGTTTCTTTTTACTTGATCCCAGTGGATTGACCACCTCAAATGCATCTTGGAAAAGTAGTATCTTTAATGAGTTATTTGCAGTTTCGAACAACTTATTTCTTTTGAAAACACTGCCATCCTTAAAGTCACATAATACTGTTGTGTCAGTGCCACTAGAAGCATTGAAACACTGCAAATTTTGCTGGACTGAAGGGTCTTCCAACATGGTTTTCAGTGTTTCTTTTATTGGTACATAGTGAAAGCAAATGGGTTTATGCTTGCTATCTTTGCCCAGGCATACTGACACCGGACTGACATACTTGCACTCGTTTTGGTAGTACATTTTTCTTCTGTGACAAGTTCTTAAGCAACCTAACTCATTATCTACTGCTGTTTTCCAACAATCACTCATATGTAGTTGATCAAGGATGCTTCTAATACTACTTTCAGCAACACCTTCTTCTTCCAACCTCTTTTGTAAAACAGAACAATATGACTCCATTGCCAAGGTATGCATATTGTCCATTTCCTCTGTTATAAGCTGAATTGTTCTTTCAGGAACATGAAGTTGGGCTTGCAATCTCAACAGAAAGAGTGCCACATTGTTTATGAAACTGTCAGTGTCAGCAGAAACCACATCAGCTTCACTATCATCGTCATTACTTAAGCCTATGTGACCAGCATCCTCGTGTTCAGAGCACGGTGACATATCCTGCTTTGTTCTTTCTCTGTGATTGTTTGTATGTTGATTGATTACAGACAAAGATGCATCCACTGTTTCACCTAAGTAATCAGAAGAGATATTTTGCACTGACCAGTCTCTATGATTTCGTGAAATATGTGCAGCAAAAGTTGACTTGTTTAGAAACAACTTGTTGCAAGAAAGGAAGGGACATTCGACCTGTTCAGAAGAATCAATATGTTGTTTCATGTGTTTTATCAGAGCACTGATGTCACTGCACTGTTGCTGGCAAATTCTGATTTTACATTTGACAGAAACGACATCAGTGTTTTTCAGTCGAGCTGGATTATCTTTCCGATATTGATTATGACTTCGAGTAACGTGGCTGTTGAATGAAGCATATGAAGCAAATGACTGGGGGCATCCAGGAACACCGCATGGAAATCTAAAGTTGTGCACATTTCTGTGAATGCGATTATGCATGGAATATGCTTTCAAAGAGGACGTGGAATGCTTGCAAACCTGGCAAATGTACATTTTTCCTACACCTGAAGCTAGTCCTGCCAAAACTGAAGCCCGAATCAGTTACCCTATCCCCCTACACGTTCACGTTATAGGCCTAGGGCCTATTTGGGTAAATCCTATGCTAGACTAATTCTACATCATGTCAAAAGCATCGCTGATGTAGGCCTAACGCCTAGGCCTCCAACAAAATTATGTAGGCCTAAGCACAAAACGTACGTACGGTCATGTCATGACGGCACAGCGTGAGCAGACTTAACATGATTAGGCCTAATGCAGAATCAGAGTAGGCCCAGGCATAGACCAAGTACAGACTAGCCCTAACGTTAGCTGGACCCGTGTATCTACATGTCTACGTTACGTTATAATGTAATACTAGTTAAAACGCACAGTATACCACCTTCCTCGTGAAATCTTACCTTTTAAATTGTAATCTGAAATAGAATTCTGGACGGCCTTGATCGAGGCGCTGATGATGATGGCGACCACCAACACTGTCACTTGTCAGTCTCACGTACGTGTGTTCCGTATACATACGTTACACGCCCGGCGCGTGTATGCACCACCGGTACGGTACGGTCCGGCCACGCCGCCTAGCACTAGCCTAAACACGCACACGTACATACATGTACATGCACAGTACAGACATGCGGCATGCACTACACGTACGTAGCAGAAAAAAATTGAGCAGCAGCACCGCGTTGCCAAAAATGTATTACATTATTTTAGGCTATAGGACGCGCCGTTTGCAAACGTGATTGGTTGTACGTGGACACAAAACGATGTTGGCGCGAATTGTTTTATTATGCAAACGCCCCATTTGCTAATTCGTTGACACTGTTGATGGTGTTGTGCAAGATTATGCAAACGTTGAGTTTTTTAAAATCATTGATCTCCATATGGAGATCAATGTTTAAAATAATGGCTTCATATGCAGGTCCGGCTTAAACAGTTGCTTATGATTCAGCCTGTTTAAAAAAATATTTTATGGTTGCATTTTCACCAGCGTTATAGCTCGGGCATAAACAATTCTTGAGCAAAGACGCATCAAAAATCCTCCGACGTTTTTTTTTCTCTTGCGGGCGTAAAAATTCGGCAAACAGTGGTGGTTATTGAAACCTCGGTTCCGTCGCTGGTGCGGCGCCTTCAACTCTAGCTTTAGGGCCAAAATTTTTAATGAGCCAAAACGAGGCCGGTTGAAATAAGCAAAATCAAAGGTCTCATTTTAGTTGTCAGCAATGATCTTTCCTAACCCAAAACAACCGGGATTATAATAATTCCTTGTCATTGATCTTATCCCTGCCGCGCTGGCCAGCCTATAAACATTGATACGTCACATGCACACTGTCCCGGCGCCCTATATCGACGGAATTAAGGCATTAGGCCTACGTTACAAAAAAAAATAGAATAAATTTACATTTATTTTTGTAACAATCAGAA